AAGAAGCCTACAGCCTGTTTGGTAGCTCATTGTCTTAGCACAGAAACCCATTTCCTGCCCAGGCTGACAAGGCTAAGAGGTGCAGATTGTCCTCAAGGAAGGTGAAGCTTGGAGTCCCTGCCAGCTCTCCTCAGGGCTCAGATAAGCTCAGGCAGTGCACACTCTGGCCCTATTCCTGTGGCCCAGCAGATGTGTTGGCTCCAGCTGCCCAAGGAAATAGGAAGACAGCAGTCATGGAACAATGGTAGGGTCTGGCAGCTGAGAGGAAGGAATATTCATTTGCTTACTCTTGGCATCCGTACAAATAGTAACCAACACTCCTCTCTCAAAATCTTGCATCCTCATCACACTCACTTCTGAGATGTGAAACACAAGGACTATTTCTTTACCAAATCAGTTGCTTAAGAAAGAATACACTGTAGATTTCTGGCAAAAACCCAAGTGCACACAGTTTAAAAGATGGGATTAACACTTGAATGAATACCATCCTCAGGCCAGCCACTGAGCTCAGTGCTTTTACTATCAAATCTTTTTTCAGTCCAAATCATGACCTGGTGAGGCAGTTAGTATCACCCTTTTACCAATGAAGCAACTCCAAGGGGGTGAGAATGGTGTTAGGTCTTGGGTCAGTGGAGCCTGTGGGAATCAAAATGCCAGGTTCTTCTTATGTCTTGAGGCCACACTGGAGACAAGGGTAAGAACACATTGACTGACTAATAGGGAAGGCTGAGAAGCTCAGCTGGTCTCTGAGCCTTCTTGGGGAGTTATGCAGAGCAGTGTGCTGGCTTGATAGGAAGCCAGACCCACAAGAATGCCACGTTTGTGCTACCAACCTGTTCCACCAGCCCAAGTATTGCCACCCACATGGGGCATGTTGTCTGGGTCCTCCTTCCCGTGTTTAGGGGAGCTCACATCTTCTCCACTGTCTCTGTTGATTGTTATCTAAAAATGAAGAAATGAAATATTATCACTATCCTGGGACCAACACCAGAAATTGCATGACAGAAAGAATTCTTTTCCTGCAAGTCCTTAAGGTATCTCATAATCTTAGGCTATATACATGACAGATGCTGTTTGTGTCTGGCAAAAATTTCCTTAGTTAGCCTCCATCTAATTGGAAAGAAGATGAAGTACTTTTTTAACAAATCCTTTTTTATAAAATAAAAGGAAATGGGTGGCGTTTCAGCTTCAGAATTTCCCTGGTGCAGAACATGCTACATTTACAAAAAGAACGAGACCTCCGAGACACAGAGAAAATGGATCTCAACAGTCAGACACTTTCCCAGCCATTTAAAAAAATCACCACCTTGC